TATTTTGTTTATATTGTTATTGAACGTAGTTAATCTATTGATGATATATGTTGCTATTTTTATCAACTTGTAAGCACAGGAAAACTGGTGACAAATAACAATCCTTGACGACTTGTGAACTACCTTTAGTACTAACTAATCTGATCAACAGCTTTAGAAAGATCATTAATTTTCACATAATATGATCTGAATTCTACTGCAAACACTTTTGATTAACTCGTTGATTTACCTGATCCTTATGAACAGCGAGCTAAGGTCATGGTACAGTGTCTATCATCAATCTGACATCCGGTTTCTTTCAAGTTTTCCTCTCAAACCTTGCTCCTCCTGAATGACTGATCATATATCAACCACATTTTCAATCTTGCATTTTTAGCACAAGAGAATCAGTTTTGTATGATGGAAGGATGGTCTCCCTGTGGGCTGGATAGCTGAGGGATGGGGCCCAATAAAGGATATTGATGAATTTAAGACTTTCGACTATACCTTTCCAGAAAGACTACACAATAGTTTTCATGATTGGTCTGATATAAACCTAGGTGTTTATACATTGTATAGAAGAAGTTGGAATAGTCACTTAGGCCATTGTTAATGTCATAAGATGGGTCCGATATAGGGCAAAATTATACAATTATATCTTCAATAACCAACTTCAACTTCACAGATTGCTACCACATTTGGTGTAAAACTTGAATTGGTCAAGTTGATAATATGTTGTATAAATGAAGTTTGTACATTCCCTGTGGCCAGAGAGGCAAAGCCTACAATGTGAATAGTGGGACAACAGAGACATTGTTCCAACTATATAACCCTATAGAATACACTTATGATACACATGTGCATGCAAGGATTTCCCTTTATGGTCTGGCCCCAACACTGGAGACTTACTCCCAGTCATCACATGGAACCAGTTGAAATCCAAAAACTTTAACCATGTATACAATTACTAGGTAGGACAAGATGAATTCACTACCATCTTATTCTCTACCACATTTTCCTTGAACTAATCAAAATTAGTGATACAAGAATTATCTGATTTTATGGCAGATCATTTTCATTAACTTGTGTCATTTTATTTCTGAAAGAAGCCTTATTTCTTTTCACCAATTGTCGAGTTGACATTGGGTAGGCTGGTTTGTGCTAAGTTGGCATTTTTGCAAAGGTACAAATTGATTGGAGCATATGAAAATACCTCTGATAAGATTTCCTATTGGCCTGGTCATGAATCCCTAGACGTTAAAAACAACTTTTTATCAATACTGACCTGAATATATCAATACTGATTGAAATATTGCACCAAATCAAACTGTGTTAGTTGTTATTTTATGATTGTGACTATAATTGGGGCATAATTCAATGCAACAGTTTATCCAGATGTCCATCACTTGGATAAGTTTTTCAAAAAATTGAACAAAGTTTTAAAAAAAATTGAATACCGGTACATGATAAAGTTAGGAATAAATAGACTTAAAACAAACTTTTTGATTATGTATAACTGAAACATGAAAGGTCAAAGTCACTTGATTTAAATTTTGTGAAAAATAAACTACTTTTTCTCCTTTTTCCCCAGATGCTGGGCTCGGTGTTAATTGCAATGGTGGTATACAATGTGCTGACTCCAATGCTGCATGTATCCAGGCTGCTGATGGAGTAAACAATGTCTGCAGATGTAACTCAATGTACTTTGACAGCAATGGGTATTCCACTGCTGGAGGAATGTGTATTGCACGTTCGTATTTACCTTGTGCTTATTATTGCTCTGATGAAATAATACCTCTGTTTTTGTATTTTATAATTTTGATGGCAGTGTCATGAGTTGAGGTCAGTTGTGTAAATTTGTGTTAATGAAACCATACATAAAACAATTTATTTTCTATGCAACAATATGATAGTATAAACTGTATACAGATAGTTCTTTTGTCAGAAATCTTATANACCACAGCTGTACAGTTAGTGGGGTTCGTACCAGGTCAGACCTATACCTTCTCTGTCCGTTCTGTGGAGTATGGAAGTCGTTCAGAGGAACAATATCCTGTAACTACAACTTCAACAACAATGAGTAAGTGTTAAACGCTGTAAACTGAATTCAATAAAGGAATTGAAATAAGATTGTATTGTTTTAAACTATGAATGCAACACAATTGAGATACAGTTATAATACTCAGAGGCATTAAAGCTGGTCTCTGTTGTATGTATACAAAAGTACATAAAATTATACATGTACACTGATGCAGCTTTCGTCATATCCTGCATCAAAAGGGGATAAGTTTCTAACGGCTTCAAGTTTTCAATCAAGAACAGGAAGTCTATTTTTTTTGTATTTTGAATGGAATTTAGGTGGATTTGAGGTAGACATTTAGGTGGATTTTAGGTGGAGTTTAGGTGGATACTATATATAGGAGAGTTTAGGTAGATTTTTAGTTCATATATAGATTCCTGCTAAACTGATTTACATATTTAGGGCCCTTTTCTGCAAGTTTTCCAAGTGTTTTCCGTCTAAGGCATCAGTATATCCCAATGCAATGAGGTAATTTCATGATGGAATCCACTTAAATTCCTGCAACAAGTCTACCAGGTTTATACTGCAATAACGAAACTTCAATCATGTGAGGGAATACAACCCTGTATGAAAGAATTTATGATCACAATTATATTGGATATTACGCTTAATTTCATAATTTAATAACATTGTAGATACAGTATGTTATAAATGTATTATAATAACACATCTACCCTTCCTTACAGAACCATCTACACCATCAGGGTTTACAGAGACAGACGTTGACGGTTCTCCGATAACATTATCCTGGAGCCTTCCTAGTGGTATTAAAACTAGTTATGACGTCACAACGACACCGGTACTTAGTCCCACCACCACATCTACAGAATCTATAACCTATACAGTTAATGTACTAGACGGACAGCGATACAACATCTCTATAACCACTGTCAGTGGTAGTGAGCGAAGTGATCCTCTGTTAGCTACATTCAGGACAGTATCCAAAAGTAAGTACATGTTCCAAATCATAAAAAATAAATAAAAAAATACCAGGATATATATGACTTTTCAAATGAATCATCCATTCAAGTGTTTAAACTAACCCGTTCTGAAAATTGTAAAAACTTTTGCTTTACTTCTACAAGTAAGATTTATGTTTGAAACCAAATGGTTGTAGAAAATAAATAACCTACCGTAATGTTGACAAAAAATTCACTGCTGGACAAAATAAAAGTCTCAAGTATATCCTTGTTGTAAAAGGTAAAATGTTTGTTTTGGAACAAAGCTAATTGTTGTTTGTTTGTTTGATTTTGGTTAATTCACCTACACAATGGCTAATATTTAAGATGGTATGATAGTGGTATCCACAGATGATGGGGCCATATTCTCCAACAGGTGATTTTAGAGTGTCAACACAAAGAAAATGTTATAGTTTTGACACAGAAGAAAAAAAATATTTTGTTCTCATAGACTGCTGTCCCCTTTGGTCGCTCAAACTGGTGCCCCCTTATAGGGGACTCAAAAGGTGGTCACCTCTTTATTAAATGTAGAGTACTATAGCAGGCTATTAATATCAGTCCCCAACCGGTCGGGGTGGGGAGTGGGGGATTGGGGGCGACTATATGTTTGCACTTCCTTCTGTCCTAATGGCTGTCCTTCCGTCTTTCCATCCTTCCATATTTCCGTCCCTCTGTTCGTCCGTCCTAGAAGTTTGTTTGGGGCATATCTTCTGTACTATTTCACCTGGGGTAACCAGATTTGGTGTACATGGATATCTTGGGATGACGGAGTGCAGAGTACAAGAGTTAGGTCACTGTGACCTATGACTTGACCCTTGACATTTACTTTTGTAAAAGTTTGTCCGAGGCATATCTTCTATACTATTTCACTTGGAGTAGCCAGATTTGGTGTACAAGGATATCTTGGGATGACAAAGTGCAGAGTGCAAGAATTAGGTAACTGTAACTATTACTTTAACTTTGACCTTTACCTGTAAAAAGTTTGTCCTGGGCATATCTTCTATACTATTACACCTGGAGTAACCAGAATTGGTGTATAAGGACATCTTGGGATGGTGGAGTGCAAGAAGTATGTATCAGGATACTTCCCTAACAGTAGGTACATCTTGACATAGGTGTACTGTTTATTAAATGTAGAAATTATTACTGATGGGGGACTATGGATTTTCTTGCAATACTTTGCCTTTTTTCTGTATTTTTGAATCAATGAAAGAAATTAATATTTTCATTCTTTATCCTCTCTTTTGTCTTTTGGCCAGAATTCAAACTTTATTTACCTGATCCCACACTTACTTGGAAAGGTGTTTGTCCACTCTTTGAACCGGACAAAAACAATAGCCTCCTGGGCACTCATCCTTTACTGTCCTTGTCCTGGATCCTCATTTACTGTACCCCCAACTAAATTGGAGGGGGTATAAAGTGAACACTTAGTTACTGTGTACATCAGTGAAATCATCCACCCATAGTCTAAAGGTTTTGTACAAGATTATCTCATAAACCCCTCTACAGATTAAGTTTAAAAGTATTAGTTAAAAGTATATGAAGAATTCAAATTTAGGAATTCTATCATTATATGACCCATTTAAGTTTTATTTTATGAAAATTGAATCTTGCTTGTTGTGATGGGATGCTAACTTTCATATTGTTTTGTTTTATTTTACAGCTCCAGATCCTCCTACGGGAGTTATTTGTAACTTCATCACAGATAAAACCATCACCCTGACCTGGACAGCTCCAGTGTATCCGAACGGAGACATCCAACACTATGTAGTCAACAGTATTACAACTAATGCTATGTTTCCCACATCAACAAACCTGACTGAGTTTACAGTTCATGGACTAAAGCCAGGTAAGATATAGATATGTCGAAATCAATATTCAAACATATAGTTATCCAATTAAGGATTAACCTTTTATTTTGTCTTGTTTATGAGATAATAAATCCAATGGAGCACCTGGCGCGTTTATGAACAATTTACCTTGTGCTCCATTGGATTTATTATCTCATAAACAAAACAAAATAAAAGGTTAATCCTTATATTTACAATATTTTCTTTTAACAAGAACACCATTAAAAGAGTCGAATACAAGCATTTACCTTGTGTAATCTGCGTTCAAAATTATTTTGATGTCATGTTAATCCATGTGAAACAGCCATTCGCAAAAGCCGTTGACATACAGCTAAACTCCGCCCACTTTATCCGTGACAACAAATGAAAAAAGTTCCTCCATTTCAATATTTCTATTCACAAAAAATATCTATATTTTACTTCATACAATATCTTCATAATTGTAATAGTAGGTAATGGAATAAATAATTTTATATTTGTATGAAATTGAGGTACTGGGGCAAAATACATCGTTTGAAAGTGATGCTCCAAAAGGCGGGAAATAGAGAGTCCTACCATGTCTTCGAGCGATAGTGACTAGCCTAGGTCTGGTGGAAGTTGAAAGGCAGTTATTGAAATTGACGTTTGTAAGCAAACCAGAGGTTTGTACAGATGACATGTACACTGTATGATGTGTATAAATCAATTGTTGGCCGAGTGACTGTTGATGTAACATTTGGGAGACGAGAAATTTGACCTACATTTCTAGGGACGATAGCCATCGTTTCTGTGCCGACCCTCATAGATGAGAGAGTGGAGCTGGTGGAGCGTTTTTGTATCGACAAACAATCGCGACTGTAGCTTCTGACACTGGCTTCATTTTTATGACCGGTCATGAACACGATCTGTCTTGTCTCGAACCCGACATCATTTGGTGTCTCAAACGTAAGGTAGGCCTAGTCTTAATGCTAGCGTTTGTTTGTCAACATTGACACGAGGTTTGCGGAAAGAAGTCTGCCCATATTTACATATATTCATACGCGGTGAACTGGATCACGTTCTACACTCAAGTTATTGAGAAATAAACAGACTTGCCTACACTTACGTTGTCGATTCAGAAACAGTGGCAATTGTAAATATTGTATTTTGAATGATCTGCAATCAAAGCTATTATAGTTTTGCTGTTTACAATGTATGAGTGTACAATTTTAGTACAAACTTGAGGTGATTATATGTCCATTTATGATGGATCATATCATGGTATATCAAGTGGTGTCTGTCTGTCCATTTACATTGCTAGCATGACTTATCTACAGACCAGACAGTGAAAGTAAGAAAAGCCACAAGCAACTTAAAATAACCTCAGAAGCTGTCTGCTGAGATAGTCAGTAAAGGATTCTTTACAAGGATTTTAACTTCCCAGATATGAACTGGGGCCATTATAAGACAATCGAGGAAGACAGTACGGAAACACAGAACAACAATTTTGTAAAACACTTGCAAGATAACTCTATCAATTATTTTATGGATAAACTGGGCAGATAATGAGGATTGAATGCATTGCTTCTTCTGGGTCTTATCATTGATAACAAAGAAATTCCTCTATCAAACCTGGAAAACTGATACAGAAAAAGGTGACCACAGCCTGCTTTGAACATTGATACACGAAAAGTGACCACAGCCTGCTTTAAACAGTGATACATGAAAAGTGATCACAGTCTGCTTTAAACATTGATACATGAAAAGGTGACCACAGCCTGCTTTGAACATTGATACATGAAAAGTGACCACAGTCTGCTTTGAACATTGATACAGAAAAGTGATCACAGTCTGCTTTGAACATTGATACAGAAAAGTGACCACAGTCTGCTTTGAACATTGATACAGAAAAGTGACCACAGCCTGCTTTGAACATTGATACATGAAAAGTGGCCACAGCCTGCTTTGAACATTGATACAGAAAAGTGATCACAGTCTGCTTTGAACAGTGATACATGAAAAGTGATCACAGTCTGCTTTGAACATTGATACACGAAAAGTGATCACAGTCTGCTTTGAACATTGATACACGAAAAGTGACCATAGCCTGCTTTGAACAGTGATACATGAAAAGTGATCACAGTCTGCTTTAAACATTGATACATGAAAAGGTGACCACAGCCTGCTTTGAACAGTGATACATGAAAAGTGACCACAGTCTGCTTTGAACATTGATACAGAAAAGTGACCACAGTCTGCTTTGAACATTGATACAGAAAAGTGACCACAGTCTGCTTTGAACATTGATACATGAAAAGGTGACCACAGCCTGCTTTATACATTGATACATGAAAAGGTGACCACAACCTGCTTTGAACATTGATACAGAAAAGTACTCACAGTCTGCTTTAAACATTGATACATGAAAAGGTGACCACAGTCTGCTTTATACATTGATACATGGACAAGTGACCACAGCCTGCTTTAAACATTGATACATGAAAATGTGACCACAGCCTGCTAAATACATTGATACATGGACAAGTGACCACAGCCTGTTTTGAACATTGATACAGGAAAAGTGACCACAGCCTGCTTTGAACATTGATACAGAAAAGTGATCACAGTCTGCTTTGAACATTGATACACAAAAGTGGCCACAGCCTGCTTTGAACATTGATACATGAGAAAGTGACCACAGCCTGCTTTGAACATTGATACAGGAAAAGTGACCACAGCCTGCTTTGAACATTGAAAACCAAAAGGTGACCACAGCCTGTTTTGAACATTGATACAGAAAAGTGATCACAGTCTGCTTTGACCATTGATACACAAAAGTGGCCACAGCCTGCTTTGAACATTGATACACAAAAGGTGACCACAGCCTGCTTTGAACATTGATACAGGAAAAGTGACCACAGCCTGCTTTGAACATTGATACAGGAAAAGGTGACCATTACCTGCTTTAAACATTGATACAGGAAAAGTGACCACAGCCTGCTTTGAAAATTGATACAGAAAAGTGGCCACAGCCTGCTTTGAACATTGATACAGGAAAATTTAGAGCCTGGAGATTTTAATAGTACACAAAAAGACACGAAATCACCAAAAGTAACCGTTAGTAACAAAGCCAATAAAACTATCAAATATTTCTTCATGGATCTTTGTCTTCGTAAATAAAGATAATGAAGAGGTACCAAATATAACCAAGACACTCATCACAGATTTATAAGATTTAATTATTCATAATCATATGAAGTGTAAAAAGTCCTATATTAGACATAATGTATAAGGCAGTATGCATCCAGCATTTTTGAAGGAAACCTCTTCAACAATGGTTTATCATTGAAAACCATGCATTAGAAACTGTACCAGACAGTTGAAAAAGCAAGTGTCGGTATTGTATCTGTGTCATACACAATGATGGAGAAGAACACAAGCACTGTGTTAATACGGGCCTGTAAGTCTGTCATTTGTAAGGTCATGGAAACAATTGTTAGAGACTTCGTTTAAATTAATTTAGAACAAAGCAGTACTCTGATTAACAATATGGATACTTGTTTGAAAGATCCCAGATACTACAATATTACCTGAAGTCAGGACAAACGAAAGTCCATAAAACAATCTAGAATCATATGATAGTTAAAGTCAAATGGATTTATTGATTTTTAGTCCATCTGTCATTCATCACTTTTTCCTTTAAACAAGTTCTTCTGAAGAACTGAAAGTGCTAGATATTTGGCTAGTAGCTTTGTCGGATGGAGCCTGATATATTGTGCAAAACACAGATGACCTTGACTTATTTTAAAGGTCAGAGCTAGAGGTCAAATATATCTAAAACAATTTCTTCTGATGAACAAATTAGAGTCATAATATTTGGCTGGTGGCTTCCTGGGAAGGATCAAAACAAAGTTTGAAAAAAGGCCTTTATCTACTTTCAAATTTACAGGGATAAAATATGTCAACACTTCATACAACTTCTTATGAAGAACCAAAAAAGTGTCATCATGATATTTTGCTGGTAGTTTCCTGAGAAGGATCCCAACAAAGTTTGCCAAAAACTGCCATGACCTACTGTCAAGGTCACAGTATTCATATATGTCAAAAACTTCAAACAACTTCTGAAGACCGAAATGTCTGAAGTGATGATATGTGCTACTTTGGATTGATTGAGGTGGACAAAGTTTGCAGAAAAAAAATAACCTTGTCCTAGCTACTTTCAAGGCCACAGATGTCTAATATGTCAAAAACTTCAAACAATTTCTTCTGAAGAACGGATAGGCCTAGAGTGAAATATTTAACCAGAATCAAGCTGGGATAACGGACATTCTAGTTTGGTCACATGAATGACCTTTACTCACTTTGAAAATAGTAGGAAACAAATTTATTGACATTATAGTTAAACAATGTCTTATGACCAAACAGTCCAGGATGATAATGTTAAAGGGGCTGGTCGGGGAAAAATGTCATATTTGCTAAAATGGATACACATGTTTAAAATACTTTCTTATGAAATATNGTCACCTGACAGTCTAAAACTCTCAATTGACCCAGATCAGTGATGTAATTTTACCGCATGCGCGTCATCAACAAGGCCAAATGTAAACATCGCGGCGAAAGAAAAAGATGCATGAAAAGTCATGACAGGCACGAGGTATCAATACCGTTATATATAACAACAACATATAGGTAGGAATACTACACTTGCATCATACATGACCTTTGAAAACAATTATTTATGTATAGTATTGCTGTCTTGTCCGCTAGTTGAGTCCGACATGGCTGATAGACGGCGTGCTATTGTTGTTATCTTCACTGCCTCACTTTCGAAACAACCATGTGACATATATAATAAGATCTGCGCTAAATTTACGCGGGGCTTCCCCCGAAATTTCAGTGGTCAAAACTGGACATTGCAAGCAGATCTCGACCATCATATTGCTGTGGTATAACTTTTGGAAGGCCAGAGAACGCATTTAGACCCATTTATTTTGTAATTTTTTCCCCGACCAGCCCCTTTAAATGTCAAATAAATAACCTTCAAGGTCACAGGGGTTAAATAATCAAAGGTTCAACTGACACTGTTTCTAGAAAATTTACTAACATAGTGGACACACATACTGCAACAAGATTCAGAGGTAAACGAGAAGAGGAGCAAAGAATGGCTATTCAAGATGCACTGTGGTGCAAAGGATCACCTATATTTTGAAAAAGAAAAAAAATGTTAGAAAGGATATTATATTTTCCTTACATACTGTTTTGGGCGAATATGTTAGCCTTCCAAATTGTCCTGTCTGGATGTGTTCAGTCAACCATAAAAGTGTGTGCACGCTTTTCCACATGTACATCCCTTTCAAAATATGGCACAAAGATGAACCAAAAAGGGGCATCGGAATGCTGCAAGGATTCTGATCGGTTGCAATTTAGAAATTGCTCAATTTCACTCAAATTTAGTATGTATATTGTAGGTGTACTATGGCAATGCGATCCTTTTCTGATGCATCTTTTCGACTATGGGGGCAGTTTGGGGGACATGTGTAATGGTCCCCCATTACAATAATTAGTACTGGTTGTTTCTGCACCTGACACAAATACTTATAATAACACAATAGATCAACTTCTGAAGAAAGAAGAACTTTATCATAATTACAGAGCGCATGTAACTGAAAGTGAAATTGAAATTTTAGTGATACTAACATCATAATTGTATAATCTAATGTAAAGGAGCTTCAAATTCAGTTCCTGTATTGGAACTTCCCAAGTTATCTTGACTCAGGTAAATTGTTTCCATGGATAAAAGTACTTAACTCTGGTTGACTAGACTGTGTATATGTATTAGACATAAAAAATGTTAATAGACAAACATAAAACAACATACATGTACATTATTATATTTTGTTAACATAAAGTATCTACTGTTTCCATTGTAGAAACCAGTTATGTATTCAGTGTAGCTACAGTCAATGATGCAGTGATGCCAAGTTCCAACCAAAGTCAATACAGCTCACAGATGGGATGCTGGACAAAAGCCGCCAGTGAGTAGGATATTTGTAGCTAGTTTGACAGCTATACCTGAGGGGCAGGTACCAATAAGGGAAATATAGCAAATTCTTTAAAATCCTTCTTCTTCTGTAGGAATGAAAGGATATGTTCCATATTTGGTCTGAAGCATCCTTGGGGAAGGCAACCAATTTTGTATAAACCGTGGGTCTAGCCCCCCTGGGGCCTGAGGGGTGGGGCCCAATAGAGAACACATAGCAAATTCTTCTACTCATTCTGTAAGAATGAAAGGATTTGTCCCATATTTGGTCTGAAGCATCCTTTAGTGAAAGGGAACCGATTTTGTATAAACCGTAGGTCTAGACCCTCAGGGGCCTGAGGGGCGGGGCCAATGGGGGCAATTGGCATGGGCTATATTGATTTAAGCGACTACCATATTTGATTGGAAGCATCCCTTGGTAGTGGAGATTCAAAATTGTACAAATGGTGGGGCTGACCCCCCGTGCTAAGGGAATCGGGGCAAGACAAGGTCACTATTACTATTTTAGAAAATCTTTGTCAGCACTCTAGTGCCTCATTCTTTCATGGATTTTAGTCAAACTTCACATTATTTTAAAAAATTTCAATATATTGGACAAGTTCAAGGTCCTCGGATCTAGGTTGAGGTCACTGTTGCATCTTAATAGATTGCGGGGGCCGGTAGGGGACATGTATTGCTTCAGCAATACTCAGTATGCTTGTTATTCTAATAATCGTAAGAGACTGAAGTGATTTCAGACAGGTGGTCACCATGGACAATTTACTGTACACATTGATCTTGAACAAACCATGTCTTTAAGGATGGAAACCTTTTTCAAAAGTATTGTGTTGTTAATCGTTCAGTTTTATTAATGAAAATTATAACATTGTACGGCATCTTATGTTTAATAACATATGTTTTCATACCTGTAATTGCTCCACATGTTCCTTTTACAGTGTCATTGGAGCCGAGCATGTTAGTTGTATCACAGGAACAGAGTCGACAGTTTACCCTGAACTGGGCCAAGCCTACTATTACCAATGGTCATCTTCGGGGATACAGACTCAGAGTGTTGGACGGGAGCATGTGTGTGCAGGAGGTCATCTTTACTTGTAACAACTGTACAGGGGTAATGGCGCTTTATTATTATGTCTTAGATAATTTTCTTAACAAGACATATTGTACAATATTATTTATTATTGTGGTACGATAAAAAAGAAATGTTGATCATGATGTGCAACAACAATGTCATTGTCTGTTACGACTAAATTATATATAATATACTGGTTGTAGGGAGTACATAAATATCATTTCTTCATAAATATGGGGCACACATTGAAATGGAGAGATAATTTACAGTACTTTGTATTCTTTTATGCCATTATGCTATTATGATAATACATGGGACAATCATCTTTATGCTGATTTCAGTATTATCTGGTGTAATGAGTTGGTTTCTTTTTTAACGTTAATTAGCTAGAATGTCAAAGTAACCAGAAATCTATAAGGATTGAACATCATCCGACAAAAACACCTATCAACACATTATAGATATATAAATAAGATGAAAAAGAAAAATACGGATTTATTTTCCAGTATACGGCTTTCTCCTTTATATGCCATGAAGAGGTCAGACAAACAGTAACAATTTTACCTACAGACTTAGATAGTTACACCTACACTGTCGGGAACCTTCTACCATATATCAACTACACAGCCAGTGTGGTAGCTGTAAATGCTGTAGGAGACGGTCACCCTAACACACAGTATGCCATGACAGACCAGGAAGGTGAGATCAGTCTTAAATTAGGATATTAACAATTGTTTAAATTGTCCCGATTTTAACCGTTATCTTTTCTTGTACATTGTGCCAGTAGAAGCGTATCTTGTGTATATTTTAGGGACTGTATAGCACAGTTGGTTGTTCCCCAGTCTATTAACCACTAGGCCATACATCTGATCCTGTGTATCATCATTGAGGTGTGTTTAAGTCCTAGAACAAGTCACTTCGATGTGTGTCAACTCCACTTACCTATAGTATATTGGTCTGAGTTGGTATGACAGTTTCTGTCTGTACTTTGCAAATAGTTATGGAACTATAAATAAATCATTTGAAATACAGCTCCACAGCCAACACCTAAACAACCCCCATCATACACACTCATTTTTCCTGAAAACAAATTTCATGCAATTTTATCTAAAAATATCATACCAAAAGAGATTTTTTTTTTAATTTTCATTTGATCAGATTTTCTACATTCAAATTAAGATATGAAGGTCAATGACATTTAGTTATATGAATTAATTTGTATTAATGCAATATCGTTGTCAGCTCTCCCTCTTTAGGATGGAGATTCCCTCATTTTGACCAAAATTGACCAATCTCCTTCAAAACTCCCACATTCAAGTCCAAATTCACACAAACTCAAAATCTACATCTTGTGGTCAAATGATCTCCTTGTTACGGCAGAGTGTGTGTAATGATCATAACAGGTGTGTCTGAATCAAATGATCTCCTAGTTACTACAGGGTGTGTGTAATGATCATAACAGGTGTGTCTAAATCAAATGATCTCCTAGTTACGGCAGGGGGTGTGTAATGATCATAACAGGTGTGTCTGAATCAAATGAATGCTTGTTGGAATTATTTTGATACATAAAAACGGATAGATACATTGAGCTATTCAGTCACAATTAATAAAAAAAGAGAATTTAACTCAGTATCATCCCTTATAAGAATACTAACACTATGTGATGCAAAGAAAATATTAAATTATTAAAAAAGAACTATTTTAGAGTGCATTATTGTATAAACCTAGTCAGGTTTACCTTGTTTTTAACTTTTTCAGTTCCACAGCATCCTACCACCTTGACAGCTACTGTTGTGAGTAGTACTGAAGTAAATGTGACCTGGGACATCAGTGATCCAAAGCCTGGACCTACCACCTATACATTGTATATCATAGCGGTAGCACCGGAGTCAAGTCGTACAGAATCCATACCAGGTAGGTTACAGACAGTATGGCAAACACACCCTACCCTACACTGTATATCATACCAGTAACATCAGATGTACCTCACAGAGAAACCATACAATGTCAGTAACACACGGTATAACTCACACACCGTACCCTACCCTGTATATCATACCAGTAACATCAGATATACCTCACACAGAAACCATAACAGGTAAGTTACAAACAGTATAGCTCACACACCCTACCCTACACTGTATAGCTTACCTGTAACAACACAGAAACCATACAATGTCAGTAACACACGGTATAACTCACACACCGTACCCTACACTGTATATCATACCAGTAACATCAGATATACCTCACACAGAAACCATACAATGTCAGCAACACACAGTATAACTCACACACCCTACCCTACACTGTATATCATACCAGTAACATCAGATGTACCTCACACAGAAACCATACCAGGTAAGTTACAAACAGTATAGCTCACACACCCTACCCTACACTGTATAGCTTACCTGTAACAACACAGAAACCATACAATGTCAGTAACACACGGTATAACTCACACACCGTACCCTACACTGTATATCATACCAGTAACATCAGATATACCTCACACAGAAACCATACAATGTCAGCAACACACAGTATAACTCACACACCCTACCCTACACTGTATATCATACCAGTAACATCAGAT